TAAGAACTCATCAAAATTTCGCCTTCAAATATCTTCATAATCTGAAAAGTATTTACTTCCTTGACATATTTCAGATAGGAAAAAAGAGGAATAAATTTATCTTTTACTAGAAAATGCATTTTTAAAATATCTTGTTCATCTTTTAATTTATAATAAATAATTTCTTTCAAAGAATCAATATTTGGATTGTCTTTCCAATATTTGAATGGATTTTGACATAGTATCGGAATCGCAATTTTAGCCCAAATTCTGCATACCATAACACAACTGAACAAGGATTCATCCATATCATAAAGTTGAGAAAATATCTCGATCAAAATATCACCAAGTAACATTGTTTTTATAATTAAAAATCTAAATTTTTGGTATTTTTATTATTGCTGAAATCACATGAATTTTTGGAACCCGGTTTACCTCGAACTGTTTTAATAAAAAATAATCCAATAAGTGATGAAATTGCAATAATAACAGTAGTAGTAGCAGGTTCCATTTTTATTTTTTTTAAAACTTACGAATCCAATTTTATTTATATCTTCTTTAATTAATAATTAACGAAATAATTTTTTTTCTAAATCTTTAATTAATTTATCAATTATTAATTATATAAATACAGACTTTACTTATAAAAAAATATCGATCTCATTTAAATAAATTAATAATTAAACATATAAAAACTAAAATGATTAAATTTTTTATTTTAATTTTCATCTACTATATCTTTTTACAAATTCATGTTTCATCTTTTGATAAAGGTAATATTGAATTTTTGTTAATAGTCTAATCTTATATTAATCTTATTTTGTAAATAGAACCTATTCCGATGAAACGTTGTAGTTTTTTTAATAAACTAATAGGCAATTGTGATGATGGAAAAAACATCGGTGAAGATTGTTCAGTTTTACCTTGTAAAAATAATCTGGAATATAAAAATATTGACAATAAATATACCTGTGTATAATATTTAAATAAAATTTTCTTATATAAGTATGTTTTCTCTGATTTTTTTTCTTTAAAAAAAAATCATTATTTTAATCATGAAATTTAACAATTTGGCTGTAATTCTCATCTTCTTTTTTGTTACTTGTGCATTAGCGATTCCAAATCCAAAAGGTATTTTTTTATTTAAATTATTATTTATTATAAATATATTTATTCATTTTATTTTTTTTATAGACGAATACATTCTTCAAAAAAGAAGTAAAAAGGATAACGAAAATGATCATGATGATAAACATGATGATTAAAGATAAATAATCAAAAAAAATTACTATGATATCATGTTAATTTTGAAAATAATAAATAAATTTTTATTTAAAAAATAAACTTGAAAAATTCATAAATTAATAATTGTAAAAATAAATAAATATAATAACGGATAAACTAAAAAAAATCTTAATAATTTTTCAACCAGTTTATCCTTTTCAACTCCTACTAAAATACCCTTCATCACTGATATAATCAGTATCATCTTCATCTTCAATAACTGAAAAATCAAAATAACTTTTTTCTAATTCATCAATCTGAGAATCAGAGATATCATCAATACACAACGAAATCGTAATATCCTCAATATCATTACTTTTTTGTATGAATTCTGAAAGTAAAATCATATATTTCATACCCAATTTTTCGTAAAAAAATAACTGAAATTGAGAAATAAAAAAATCTCCTTCTCTTATTCTTAATTCAAGATCATTAACACAACCGAAATAAGAAAACCCATCCTTATCAAAATCCATATTAAATTCTTCGTGATGTAAAAATTCTTGAATAAATTCTGAATAAAGTATCTTGTATTCATTACCCAAACATTCACTAAAAAACATTTGATATCTAGTAATAAAAAATTCTCTTTGTTCAATCTTTGAATAAAGATCAT